AATCTGAAGCTCCACATGCTGCAGACACACAGCACGAGGTGCTTTCAGCCAATCACACCACACAACACTGAGCCTGTCAGACTCCCAGCCAATCACACTGACCTCTGACTGGACACACACACACACACACACACACACACACACACACACACACACACACACACACACACACAGAGGCAGACTGAGGAACAGAGGAGCATTGAGAGCTGAACACTGACTGACTGATGATCAGACTGTTCAACTGACTGAAAACATACGTCCTGTTCACTGAGTTCAGTCCAGTTCACTCTCACGTCTTTAGTTTCAAATGACAAGTTCATTATTTTCATTCAAACTGTTTGTGAAAGTAGACGTCACTGAAAATATATTATGATATAATATATATGAGTCGTGTCTCTGAGACGGAGACAAAAACAAAGTTTGACACGAGGAGGAGAACATCACCACCGATGAGAAATTAAAGGAGACTTCTTTTATTCACAATCAGTGATATTAATGTAAAGTGTTTTCAGAAAACATCTCCGTCCTCAGACCGTCCAACGCTGCAGCTCCTCTTCTCAGTCTCTGTCTCTAACACTTGGTTTGAGCTCCCGTCTCTTTAAGGGAACTATAGCAACAGTGATGAGATTTAAAACCTAGTTTCAGTTTTAGTTTGTGTGAATTCATGTGTGTTTGTTACTGTGCACGCTAATGATTGTTGTTAATGATTGTTGTTAATGATTGTTGTAGAGTGTTATTGTTTGTGTTAATATACGTCTTGTTAATATGTGTGTTAATGTGTGTGTCAAAGTGTGTGTTTGCTGGAACAGAAACTCTGTGATTTAAATCTTTTCGTCAGCGCGTGAACGTCACGTTCCCGAGCTCCGAGAAGATCCACGCTCTCTGTCACCGTCACGTTAATGAAACGCCGTCACGACGACACACACATCCATCAACATCTAATAAGTTTCTGTCAGAGTCACAGGGTTCAGGCCGTCAGCTGACACACACACACACACACACACACACACACACACACAC